CACACCCCTGGGCGCCGCGCCAGCCGTCGCCGGCCCTCCGGCCCCGGGGCCCTCGCCTCCCCACGGCGGGCGCCCGCGGCGACCCGGGCCGCGCTCCCCGGGGACGCGGCGGCGGGGTCGGGGTGGGCGCGCGGCGGGGCCCCGGGCGGCGCGGTCTGGCTGAGCGCCACCGCGCGCCAGCCACTCGGCCCGGGCCTGCGAGTGACGGGTGCAGCCTCCGGCCTGGCGCGGAGCTCCATTCGGCCCCTGCCCCGAGCCTGCTCTGCGCTCTGCCCCGGGTCGCGCCCCAGAGGAAAGTTCCAGGGTCACCCACGACTCTCGGAGGTCCCGAGGGCAGCGTGGGGGGACGAAGGACGTGCGCTCCGGGTCCCGCGCCTGTGCCCCGGGGACACCCCCTTAGCCCTCCTGCCCTCGGTGCGCAGAGGCCGCTTGGCGACCCATTGCCGAGCCGGATCCGGGCGGGATTCGATTTCGGTCCCATCTCAGAGATTGCCCAACTTTTTCAAAAAGGCAGCTGCGCAATCTACAGAGTTTAAACGTCTTGTTCAGATTCCTCAAGTTCAGAGTGAAAAACGACCTCGGGCGGGATACACGTTTCCCCAGCCGGGGCCTTCCGACCTACTCTCCGGGCCTGAAATTGCCCGGAAAGGGTGTTGGGTTGGTTTGATGGTTGTTTTTAACTTCTTTTACCCGCTCCCAGAGGTCCACAGAGCTGTGTCCGCACTGGCCTCCAGGCCTCTGCTCCCATCCCTCTGGGCTGCTGTGTCCGGTTCTGGGTCTTCACCGGCCAGCTCGCGGGCCACCCGCCGGCTGCAGGGCTGACAGCGCTGTCCCTGCCCTGGCCTGGCCTCCTCTCTTGCCATGTGTCTTCTGAGAATTTCTCTGGCTCTTCTCTCCAGACCCCCACCCCATCCTCAAAAAAGCTCTGTGCCCTCAGCTTGCTTTTCTTGAAGGGCGGAGAGGTTACCTCCTTCCAGAGCAAGGATTCTGGAGCCAGGCCGCTCTCTTCAGCCTGCTTCACCCCCTCACCGGCTTGTGACCTTGGGCAACCTAATTGGCCAGCTCGGTGTTCTCATCTGTCAAATGAGGCTAATTAGTACCCTCCTGGGGTCTCTGTAAAGACTGAATGAATCAATAGATATAAAGTGCCAGGAAAGTGCCCCATGCATGTAGTATATACCCTTTCACGTGTGGGCTACTATTGCTGGTGTTATTTGTGCTGAGTTCTTGCTCTGGAGACTGCAGGGATGTCCTTAGGATTAGAGGTCCTTTGTGAAATAAAACACCTGATAGTGTGCAGGGCACACAGCGCCGGCTCCCTGATTGGCAGGTTCTATTGTTCTCTTGTTCCTTGATCTCAGCTACTAAAATCCTATCTATCACCAAGTTAGCAATGACTCCTGTGTGGACATGTCTCATGCTCCAGGCTCTAGCCCATATTTTTAACTGCCCCCCTGGGCCCCAGACTCAATCTGTCTTCCTCCCATCCAGCTCTGCCTCCTGCCCCTCCTTTTGGTGTAACCATGGCCCAGCCCCAGACTCTGAATCTCTGGATCTTCTCAACACTCCTCACTTGGCAGGCCTTTCTTCAAATGTCACCTCCCCTCACTGCTCCCCCCCCCACCCTCAGCCTTCCCCACATCACCCAATACACGCACATACGTGTGTGTGTGTGTGCAGTCCGCCCCCTTCCCTGCTTCCTCCATCTCACAGATGCATATTCGTATCCCTTTGTTTGCCATATAGCTCACTTATTTATCTTAGTTGTGTTCCTCCACTAGAATGCAGGTTCCGTGAGGGCAGAAATTTCTGTTTTGTTCACTCTGTGTTGCGACCACCTAAAACAGTGCCCGGTTCACAGTAGGTGCACATACGTGGCTGCTTCTTGACCCCGCCCCCCAGTGCCCCTGGGGGCTCCCCACCTGCAGCCGGCCTGCTGTCCGGCTTGCTCTCCTCACTGGCTGCCCATGGTGCAGCTCGGCAGAGCCTGCCTTGCCTTCCAGATTAAATCCTTATGTCTCACCCTCCCTTTAAGGGTCCCAACCTCTGTTCCTCACCAAGTTGTCCCTTCAAGTGACAGCCAGACGTAGCTACTTGCTAATCCTCAAATCCTTCTTGAACTTTCCTAAATCGATCCCTGTATACACAAAGTTCCCTGTTCCTTCCATTTCACTCTCCTGCCCCTCCCTGCCCACGACCCAGCAGGGCCCGGGCTGAAAGAGGGCACCTGGTTCGTGAAGCGTCCCCCACCACCTCAACTGCCTTCCTTCCCAGGGAATGCCCTCTTTGTCTGTGCTCTTCACACATCTAAGAAACTTCTTGCAAAATTTCACTGCCTTTTTCTTTGTATTGTACTTGTCCGGGTATTTTAATTTTTTTTAATGTAGTATACAGTCAAGTAGACCTAGAGTATTGCTAAGATCACGGACTTTGGAGCCAGACCTACTGGGTCCAAAACCCCTTCTACTTCTTGCAGTGAATGACCTTGGGCAAGTTATTGAGTTGTCTTCCATAAAACTGTGTAAGAATAAACTATCTCATTTTTAAGGCAAATCACTTAGAATAGTACTTGAAACACGGTAAGTGATATATATGAGTCAGCTATTAAGAAGAGCAATAAAAAAAATATCACCCACCCCCAGAATTAGCAAATGTCATGTTGTTATGTTTGTTTTAAGGATACTGTTATTAAGAACTAGCATTCCTAGACGCAGTTGAAGTCTCCTTCAGATGCCTTCAGATCCTGTTCCCTTTCCCCTCCCTCCCACCCCGAGGCAGACATCCGGCCCTTTCTTGAGAAGGTGGGCCAGGGGAAAAGGCCCACCCAGGCCCAGGAGGAGGCCTTGAGACCATCGGACAGGGAGTCTTGGGGTCCCAGCTCCCAGAGTTTGGGTAGGAGGGATGCGCTGCATCCTCAAAAAGACAGAGCAGAGATGGGCTTCAGGTGGGTACAACCTCTTGGCTCTGGGGCTGGAGCAGAAGAAGGCCAGAGCTCCACTCCCAAAGGCACCAGACCTTTCTTCCCCAGGTGTAGCTATCGTGAAGTTGTTAATATTCATCTTGTCCAGTTTTCATCCTTTTAATACACATGTATCACACACAAACAATATATAGTACTTGGGGTGCTCTGACATTTACATAAGTGGTCCCATACTCCCCATATTTTCCTGTTACTTCTCGTTTTCAGTCCACATTATATTTTTGAGACTCACGAGCCTATCATTAGCCTTGATAAACGTGGATCTATTTCATTTAATCCATCTGCTACGGATCATTCTTTTGAATGACCGTACTACAATTTATCCATTCCCCGACTGAGACATCTAGCTCATTTTTAATTTTCCACAATTACAAATAACACTGCAATGAACCTGTTGTTCACATTCCCTTGTGCACTTGTGCAAGAACTGTTGAACTGTTGAGAGGTAAATGCCTAGAAATAGGTTCGCAGGGCCACAGAGTGTATGTATTTGGAGTTTTGCCAGACATTGCCAAATTGCTTTCGGAGGGGTGGTCCCACCATGTATCCTGCCAGCGTCATATGAGGTTGTTCACATCTGTGCTGACATTTGGCTTTGTTAAACTCAAGCGCACTAGCAGATACTCTGGGTAGAAAATGCAGTCTCACTGTTCTGATTTGCGTGTCTTTGATGTGGTCAGATGGAACATATTCTTCATGCTTACTCATCGTTCAGGTTTCATCTTCTGGGAGAGGCCTCTTCATATCCTCTGTCTGTGTTCTCTTCGTTATTTGTTTCTTCTTATTGGACTTTTGGGAAGTTAATTTGTTTATTTGTGTATTCTCCTTTATCAACTATATAGGTTCTGTCTTCTCAGTCTGTTAACTTTGTTTATAGTGTCCTGCTGACTACAAAAAGTTTTAAGTTCAAATGTAGTAAAATATATCAATTTTCCTTATAGCCTCTGGGTTTTTTTGCGTTTTGCTAAAAAAAAAAAAAAAAGAAAATACTGCATGAATGTGTTTCTGCATTCTCATTCTGTTCTACTGTGCTAGCTCCATGCCAATATTTCCTTGTTAATTATGACAGCTCTATAAGAATTCTGATTACCTGGTAGGGCAAGTCCTGCCTTCTCTCCCTAAACTTGTTCCTCTTCAGAATTATCTTGGAGACTTGGGGGCTTTTTTCTTCCATATAAAATTTCTACTTTACTAAGTGCCATAAAAATTCGGCTGGGATTTTGATGTGGAACTCTGCTTGCGTGTTATTTTTCCCATGGCTTTGTAGGTTTTTGAGAGAAAAGCCAAATCACATTCATCTTTCTATCCTAACCCATTGGTATCTATTTTCTATCTGCACATGTGACTATTTAAATTTAATTTAATTAAAATTAAGGAAAATAAAAAAATCTGTTCCCTATGAGCCATGTTTCAAGTGTTCAACAGCCAATGTGGCTAATGGCTACCGTATTGGACTAAGCAGATACAGAACATTTCCTTCGCCACAGAAAGTTCTGTTGGACAGTGCAGATCTAGACATAGTGATCATTAAATGTTTGCTGAAGAGACATGATAAGAATCAATAGGCCTACAACCTTCAGCCTTTGTAAAACATCCTAACTTTATTCTTTTTGAAAAGGTAATTGTTTGGGTTTTTCACATAAAAATTTATAGTTGGCATTTTTTATTACGTTTAGGAATGGATATACCAAGTATTCGGGTGTATTCACCACATATCGAGTTACCAAAATATGTCATAATGACATTTATGCTGTTTGTAAAGCACAAAAAAATTGGTTTGCTTAGGAATACTATAATAAATCTTGAAATT